CAATTCAGCATTTTCGAATAACAATGAAGGAAGTATCCGGACTAGATCCTTTGAACTATATAACATTACCATCATTCGCATTTGATATGGCAAAAAAGATGACTAAGGTCAAGCTTGAATTATTCTATAAGGGGCAGAAGGATATGCATGAGTTCGTTTAACATTGAATGTGAGATGGAAATTCTATAGCGCCACATCATATAGCAAAAGCCAATTTTCTGAAAATGAAAGGTTATGATAAGCGAAAAGCCAACAAATAGCTTTTTTATCTAGATGCTAATAATTTATATGGATAGGCTATATCTCAATATTTGCTAACAGAAGGATTTAGATGGCTTGACATAAACAACTTGCCTAATATACGGTTTATTTCACCAACTGCAAAACAAGACAGTGCTTAAAAAGTAAAATTAAAATATCTGGAAAATCTTCACCCAACACATAGTGACTATCCGCTCTGCCCAGAACGTCGGGTAGTTAAGCGAAGTGAGCTTAGTTCATACCAAAATAACGACCTAATTGATAAACTGAGCAGTGGAAAATTTGTAAAAACAGAAAAATTGATAGCAACTTTAGAGACTAAAGATCGTTATATTATTCATTACCGAAATCTCCAACAGTGTCTTGAACTAGGGATGGAACTTGAGCATGTATACCGTATATTAGAGTTTGATCAATCTCTCTAGCTCAAACCATATATTACAGCAAATACTATACGGTATCGTGATGCAAAAAATGCATTCGAAAGAGATCTATGAAAATTAATGAACAATACAGTATTCAGAAAAACTATGGAAGATGTTCAGCATCACACACGAGTAGATATAGTATGACCAATAGGAGAGGAGCATCGACTTCGTAAAATGTTGGCAGACCCGGCACTAGTTGGATATAAAATATTTTATGGAAGTAATCTTATAGCAGTCTATCGAAGGCTAATGAATGTTATACTTAACAAGCCAATCTATATCAGGGCTTTAGTTTTAGATCTTAGTAAATATTACATATATGATTTCTGGTATAATCATATCAAGCGTAAGTATAGAGATTGTGCAAAATTATGTTATACCGATACAGACTCACTAATTATCGAAATTGAGACTGAGGACATCTATGTCGACATGATTGAAAATACAGAGCTCTATGATTTTAGTGATTATCCTAAAAACCACCCATTACTTGAAAAACTTTCTCCAGATCAATGGGTATGTCTTCCTGATGGTTCATGTGAGCTAAAAAATAAGAAAGTGATCGAGAAGTAGAAAGATGAGTTTGCAGGAACTCAAGCATTAAGATATGCTGGAAACCGATCAAAGTCTTATGCATTGAAAACTGAAGATGAGTATAAAAATATACAGAAGGCAAAGGGTCTCAAAAAATCTCT